AGGTCGTCGGAGACCAGAGCACTGTGATACGAAGACTAGGAAGCAGGAAGGTGGGGCATGTCTGGCTTTGGTCTCACCTTGGTAACAGAGACCAGCCCTGTATGCTCCTCTTCCGTGGGTGAGCGTGCCCATAGCCACTCAGCAGTGTGGTTCCCTGCAACTGTGTGTGCAGAGAGACCAGGCGCCCTCCAGGACAGGCAACACTGCACCTGAGCTCCAGTGATTTTAAAATTTCTTTCAGTTGCAAAGGTATATATATATTATATAGGAGGGGTTTTTGCTATTGGGCGCATGCGCTCGCCAGAAAGACAGAGAGAGAGACAGAGAGACAGAAGGACAGAAAGCGAGAGATCACCCCCCAGGGTGGATGGCCACACTGCAGTCCCTTCTCCTCCATTCTCCTCTCAGGATCTTGGGCACACACACACACATGCGCCCGATGTGAGTTTAAGCCACCAAGTCTGGGACTCTAACCATGGTCGACTACATAAAAGTCCAACGACATAGCCATTACACCAACTGCTGGTCTGAAGCAAAGCTATATTCTTTAGGACACTATCCAGGGGTAAAGGACTGAGGATAAATGCTAATGTATCAGGACCAGGGCTTAAGCTCTATGCTATGGGGCTGGCCAGATCCCATATGGCCAACTGCTGGTCAAATCCTGGCCCAGCAGCAGCAAAAATGCATGGGGTACACATACATGGGTGGGCAGAGAAAAGGAGGAAAGGATTGAGTGTGATCATCCCCAATTGGGGTATTTCCTTTCTCTCTCTCTATCATGTATATTTGCCCTCTAGCAATAAATTTAAAAAATAATAATAATAATAATAATAATAAAAAAACCTTTGCAATTGAAAAAATCAGAACTACATTCAGTTTTAATAGCATTTCCACTGTTTTAAAATTTTTTCTGGAGAGAATTTTTTACCTTTTTGTTCATTAGGAGCTCATTTCAGCCTTATCAAACATGGTTTTAATATCTGACTTAAAGTACTTATTACTTCCAGCATCCGGATTATCTCAGGGTCGGTATTTGCTGTCTTTTAAAAAATTGTCATGCTTTTGTTTCTTTGCATAGTGACACATTCCAAACTATTTCTTAAATATTGCCTTTGGAGGCTGTAGGTACTCATTTGTTTTATGATGAAGTTAGTCTATTTGTCTAAGCGGGAACTCACTCAGATCGATGCAAGCTGCTGCTCTCTTACGGGTGACAGCTCAGACCTCGGGGCCCTTCTGGCTTTGGCTGGGCTGCTTGCACATGCCTGGTTTAGAAATCAGCCTGAGGTTTGGGAAGAATTGGGGGCCCCTCTCTTTAGCTCCCTCTTTTTTTCAGGATTCTCCACTCACCCTCCATCAGCTGCAGTTGCCTGGGTTCTGTCACCTTATGCATCAGGTTGGGAAGACTGAGATGGGGTCAGGTGAGCCATCTCTTGTGTGGTACTGAGGGTTGCCTTGCCCGCCCCCCCCACCCCCACCCCGGCTGTCAGTGGAGAGAGAGGATTGATTGATCAGCCTTCCTGCCCATGTGAACCGTCCCCCAGAGTCTGTCGGATTTTGTTCATGCTGCAGAGTTGTCAGCGGGTTGCTTATGTGTTATTTTGCCCAGAGCACATGGTTCGTATCTGTGGAAGCACACGAGAACAGGAGCCCACACGGCCTTAACTGAAGCAGAACTCGCAGAAGCACATTTCCAAAGCAGGAAAGTGGTAATGCAGCCGGGGACGAGAAGAAATAATGTCTGTCAGGCTCCACGTGTGTGCCGACACATCATTAAGAGCTTTCCCTGCACTCGTCCTGCGTCCGCCTGCTTTATACTTCTCGTCTAAGCAATGAAATGGTCTTCTGAACTTTATGCTAGTCTCGCAATTCCACCTGAACCACTGGCAATATGAAATGCCTCACATTTTATGTTTGGTCCCAGAAGCGTGGTACTCGGTGCTAGAAACCTGCCCGTGTCTGAGTGTGAGAGACACCATGTGGATCAAGAGACGTTTGAAAGTCAGTCCATAATGATCATCCCTTATTGCAGAGATCTGCCTGGGACCACTCACATTGAGAAGCACCTCGCAGTGCGGGAGATGCAGCTCAAAAGATAAGAGTCCCCAGTTTTAGCAGACATAGGGTCTAACATGAGTAGGATCTCAAGAACACAGTTTAGTAAGTATTAATTTTTATTTGACCAGAGAGGGAGAAAGCAAGAGAGAGAGAACATGAGAAAGCAAGCCACCAGATCTGGGACTTGAACCCATGGTGGGCCATGTGGGAGTCCAGTTTCCTTAACCACCACACCACCTGCCGGCTTCTAGTATACTAAGTGTTACGCTAGAATTAAATTTCTGCTAACGCTAGCCACTTGTTATATGTGCTAGCACCTGTACAAACTAGATGTTTAAAAATAAATAAAAGAAGAAAAAAGAATCAGTAAAGGTTATGTCTATTAAAGACTCCTTGCAGATACAGATAAGTATTGCTTGATTTGGTTGCAGATGATGTGAGGTATCAAAATCAATATGCACGTTCATCCTTTAGAGATGGATGTTTACATATAATTAGTGAAATCAGTGATTCTCTTCTTTCATTCATTTCACAGATACTTATCAGTTGGGCCCAGGTGACAGGCTCAGTGCTAGGAAAATGAATCAAGTGGGGAGGAGAGACTGATGTGTTGAACAATCCCAGAGCTCATTTCGTGTGCTTATGACATGGGCGAGTGGTTTAACCTCTGGCTGTTTCATCCACTACAAAATGAAACTGAAAATAACACCTATCTGGGGCTGGCAGGTGGCGAGGTGGTTGAGGCACTGGACACTCACATGGCTGACCACAGTTCGAGTCCCAAACTTGGTGGTTTGCTTTCTCACTTTCCCTTCCTCTCTCAGTCTCTCTCTGGTCAAATTAAAAATTAATAAATATGGACCAACAGATGGCATAATGATTACATCACTGGACTCCCACATGTTGACTGTGGTTTGAGTCCCAAAGCTGGCAGCTTAAAATTCACAGCAGGTGTGTGTTCGTATGTGACCAAAATCCCAAGAATGAAGAAGGGATTGTGGCATGACCATCCCCCCAGGAATGATTTCTCACTTTCTGCCCCTCTTTCTCTCTGTCTCTCCAGTGAGCATACACACCCTATAGCAAAAATCTCTCAAAATAATAATAATAATAATAATAAATATTTTAAAAATAATAACATCTCTCTTACAAAGTCATTGTGAATATTAAATGAGATGATTGTGTTCATTGAGTACCTAGCAGAGGGCTTGGATCCTTGTAGACCCTCAGTAAGTTTCAGTAGTTTTTCTGTTTTTCTGTCCCACTATTATAGAAAAGGAAATCTGAACTAAAAGAACAACAACAATGAAAAAAAAAAATAGTGAGATAATTTGCTTGTCCAGGATACTGAATACCCACAAAACAGATGAAAAACAAAGCATGAAGGCCCAACTATTTATGCGTGGGCAGGAAGGCACTGCTGACTGGTGGCTGAAGCCACATGGGCAGCCCAAGTTCAGATCCAAGCCCACCCCTAGACAAGATGAGCACAGTGGCAAGTATCTGTGGTCCTCACTAACCAGAAGACTGGGTAGGAGGACTGCAATATGCCAAGACCTGGTCAAAAAATGCCTACCTCAAAGAGGGCCCTGTAGCCTAATGATTAAGGGAGCTGGATCCCATATGACCTACTGTGGTTTAAATCCCAGTCCCAGTACTTGAAGAACACACCAAGTTCCGTGTGTCTGTGCCTCAAATCCCGTAGGATGGTGGCATGACTGTGTCCTACTAAGGGGTGCTGTCTCCCTCTCTCTTTCTCTCTGTCTCTCTCTAGCAAGGACACACGCTCTCTGGCCACTAAAATATACTTTTTAATGCCTGTCTCTTGCTTTCCCACACTTCCTCTCTTTCTCAAAAAAATTTGCAAGTGATTCAAAGGACATGAGTCTTGTAGGATTCTCGTTTAAGACTAGAAAGTAGGATTCATTTTACCTGCTGAGTCTGGGACTGAATCAGAAGGAAACATCTACACAAATTAAGTAAATGACTTTTCAAATACTGTCCATGTACACTTATCCAGAGACTTGAAACCAACTTTTCAGTCCACTAGCCGCTCGCTTTCTTACAGACACCCGTGTATCTTCAGACTGGTTCCTTCATCACCATCTGAGCTTTTCTTATTAGGTGCTGCCTATTTTTTTCTCTTTTTTTCTTTTTTAATCTGCTAGAGGATACAAGCACTTGCTGGAAAGAGGGAAAAAAAGAAAGTGAGGAAGCACCCTTTATGAGAGCTGGTCTTGCGATAGTCCCTTTCTCATTTTTCCTTTTGGGATATTGGAGGCACACCCACATACACAGACACAGACAGACAGCTGATGTGTTTTTCAAGCCACTGGGTCTAGGACTCAAACCATGCTGTCTAGTATGTGGGATCCAGCCACCTTAATCACCCACCACCAGCTGGATAAAGGGCTGCCTAATTTTTAATAAAGAGGATTATCAAAAGTTTCTCAGTCCTGAAATTTTTCATTTTCAGAACTGACAAGTGAGACATGAGAGAAAGTAACTACCTTGAAACATTCTTCCAGAACTTTCCTAGGATTCCACAGCGCTATGCCTTCTGAAACGAAGAGTGTTTCTTCAAATGGTATAACTTCTCCAGCGTAGCCAAGCCCAAGGACTCACCCAGAACTTGAATGCCAACATGACATTAATTTCACTAATTATCGAGTTATTCATGTGACTTTTATTTTATTTTGATTACAGAAGATAATCCTTGAGTTGGAAGTGGATTTTTGGTGGAGTAAAACCCTGAGGAAATCATTAAATTATGAGAGAGATAATCTTTCTCTGATTTTCCTTGTGTAACTAGAATATCTTTGCAACTCAATTTTAAGAAGTAATGCTTATCACATTCATTTTAGAAAAGTTCTCTCAGTATAATTGTATTGCTAATAATCTGAATTTGACCTCTTTCTCCTTTTTTTCTCATTTTACAGACTGCTGCCACTTTCCATGTAACTGTCCAAGACGATAACAGCATTGTTGTCTCTCTAGAAGCTTCCGATGTCATCAGTCCAGCATCTGTGTATGTTGTGAAGATAACTGGTGAATCCAAAAATTATTTCTTCGAATTTGAGGAATTCAACAGCACCTTGCCTCCTCCCGTCATCTTTCAGGCCAGTTATCATGGCCTCTATTACATCATTACTCTGGTAGTAGTAAATGGAAACGTGGTTACCAAGCCATCCAGATCAGTCACTGTGTTGACAAGTAAGCGTGTGTGACATTGTCCTCTGTGCTCTTCCTTGGAAAGTATTCTTATGGGGCTGTATGGAAAGACCCAGCCCAGAGAGTGGCTAGATCACTCGCATTGAATTCAAGTGATATAGATTCAAAGTTCTGCATTATATGAAGAATGTGGCTTCTTGCAGGAGTTGGATAATATTTATTATCAACCTTTCGTTAAAGAAAAATCTGCTTTAAAAAAAAAAGTAAAGCTCAATGAGGTAGTAGGCTTTGAAATAGAATGACGATTTTAGATTCGTGATTGGACCATGTAATCTATTATATTCCTTAATAGTGTGATTACAAGTTGTCTATTTTTTTCCCAGAATGAATCTTCTTGTACTAAACAATTTGGGTTTTTTTAGGCAACAAATATATATTCACATTTAGCGTGCTCAAATTCAATTATCCATTTTTAGCTGAGAGAAAGAAAAATATCTCTCTATCAGTTACTATCTTCAACTCATTCTCAAAATAATCTTGGCCTCCATAGCCCAAGAAAACAGCTGGATCAAAAACCACTGGCATTTTAACCTTTAATAGTCTATATCTTTAAAATTTACTGCTATTATTAAGTTTTTAGGGGTGGTTTTAACAAAATGTGATTTTCATGTTACTCTCTGACTTCAATTTCTAGTCTCAAAGTAACATGCGATTCTACTGTATAAGCTAAATTTGGAAGAACAACTGGTGTCTGGGCCAACCGGTGGTATGGTGGTTAAGGTGCCTGGATCCCACATGGCCGACCGCATAGTTCAAGTCTTGGACCTGGTGGCTTGAAAAACACGCAAGCATGTGTGCGTTTTTGCCCCGAAATTCTGAGGGAGAAAGTAGGAGAAGGGATTGTGGTATGATTGTCCCCCTGAGGGGTAATTTCTCACTTTTCCTCTCCCTCTGTCTGTCTGTCTCTCTCTGGCAAGAACATGCATCCTATAGCAAAACTAAAAGAAGAAAAGAAAAGAAAAACTTATAACTGTAAGTCTACACAGAATTTATAACTGGAGCAATTTAATGACTCAGGGAAGAACGTTTTGCTCATTTTCTTCAGTGTAAGTTTTCAACGGCTGCAATTTTTAAAATGCCAGTTACCTATGGTCATTCTGGCCACAATTAAGGAAAAGGACATCATGATATTGTCTGATGTGATAAAAGGAGAGAAGCAAGAATTCACAAATGAACTAAAGGACGTATTTTTAACGAGTCTGTCAAAGACTTATTAAAGTCTCCATTGGCAGAGTCCCAGAATCAGTACTGAGACCTCAAACTCAGGAATCTCCCACCCAAGAACTTCGAGCTTGTAGTTGCAATGAACAAATCTAGAAATTAGTCATAGTAAAGGCAGAACTTACCTGGTAAGTTCTAGAAAAAGGTAAATTGTGAGTCAAATTCAGGTGGTAGATCTAGCCCTATAATATCTTTAATGCAAACTCCTTGATTTTCTTTTTTTTTTTTTTTTCTTTTTTTGTTTTTTTTCTTTTTTGAGGGATTTTTGCTATAGGGCATGTGTGTTCCCCAGAGAGACAGAGACAGAAAGTGAGAAATCATTCCTTGGGGGGATGGCCACGCTGCAATCCCTTCTCCTCCATTCTCCTCTGAGGATTGTGCACACACACACACGTACACACAGCATGAGTTTTAAGCCACTGGATCCAGGATTTGAACTGTGGTTGACTACATAGGAGCCCAGCAACATAACCATGTGTTGGTTCCACTAACTCCTTGAAATTTATTCTGCATTACTCACCTTTTTAATTTTATAAACACTTGACCCAAGTCTTATGCTTGGTGGTCTATAAACATTAGTTCAGTTTACTTGGGCAAGTAACAGGAGAAAGCCAGAAAAAAAGAAAGACTAAGGCACAAGGCGAAGTATTATAGAATACAGAACTGTAATAACTGTTGCTAACCCAACACTATCATGCATTTGGTCCATTTCCTAGTAAGATGAAGCTGAAGAGTTCAATCCTTAAGCTAAAGATTCTTAAAGAATTTTGATAATTAGCAAAGAAATGCTAAAATATTTTGGCAATATTGTATCGATATTTTAGCCCTTGCAGTGAGTTCTGATCAAAATTTCATCTATATTCTCTTGTGATTTCTCCTTTGACCTGTGGGCTTAAAAAGGTGTTGAATGTCTAAAAATTCAGAAATTCTATAAAGATCTCTTTATCTATTTCTAGGTGTCTGTTGTAACCAGAGAACATACTTTGTATGATTTCAATTACTTGAACATTGTTGAGATTTATTTGATAGCCCCAAATTTAGTCTATCTTGCTGTGAATTCTGTGAGCACTTGTTGGGTGGGTTCAATAAATGTCAGGTAGGTCAAGTTGGTTGTTTAAGCCTTCCATATCTTTGCTAATTTTCTGTTTACTTGTTCTAATAATGAGTCATAGAGGAGTGTGGAAGTGTCCACTTGTAACTGGATTTATCTATTTTTTTCTTTCACGTCTCTTAGTTTTATGCTTTACATATTTTTAACTCTATTGTTCTGATTTTTATGATTGCTATATCTTCTTGATGAGCTGACCCTTTTTCTATCTGCAATGTCTTCTTTATCCCAGGTAATATGCCTTGTGTTGAGATCTCTTATGTCTGATTTTTTTTTTTTTTTTTTAGAGAGAGACTTTTGCTATAGGGCACATGCACTCACTGAAGAGACAGAGACAGAATGCGAGAAATCACCCCCCAGGTGGGATGGCCATGCCACTATTCCTTCCCCTCCATTCTCCTCTAGCAATTTTGGACATGCATGCACATGTGCCCAGCATGTTTCAAGCCTCCAGAACCAGGACTTGAACTGTGGCCTGCCATGTGGAAGTTCAGCAACATAACCATTAAGCCATCTGCTAGTCCTATTGTCAGATATGAATACAGTCATTTTACTTTTGTTTTAAGTTCTTGCATGCCATACAGTTAATTCCTTTACTTCTTGCCTACCTTTGTCTTTCAATGCATATGATTTTCCTGTAGATAGCATAGAGTTGAGTCTTGCTTTTGTTACAAACTGAAACTACCATTTAACTGGACTGTATACACGAGCACTATTCCATATAAATAGAATGTTAACTTCATATATAATAAAATTTCTGGTAAAAACATTTAAAAATTATTTTGAGGGACCAGCAGATGGCATAATGGTTGTGTCGCTGGACTCTCACATAGTTGACCACAGTTTGAGACCTGGACCCAGTGGCTAGAAATTCATACTGGGTGCATTTGTGTTTGTGCCCAAAGTTCTAAGAGGAGAGTAGAGAAGAAGGGATTGCATCATGGCCATCCCCCAGGGGTGATTTATTGCTTTCTGTCTCTCTGTTTCTCTGGCAAGGGCATGCACCCTATAGCAAAAATCTCTCAAATAAGAAAAAATAAATAAAAAAGCCTTTTTGAAAAAGTGAAATTAATTTTAAAAACATGGTTTACTTAGCCCATTACATTCAAAATGTATGTTTTATATCTCCATTGCTCTATACAATTGCCACTAATTTTGAATTTTCTCATTTTAATTCATTTGAAATATAATTTAAATAGTTACATATAGCTATTTAAGTATACCATGTTGGATATAGTAACTGTAAACTGTTATCCCAGCAGTCCCCAGCATTTCTGTCACCAGGGACTAGTTTTTGTTGTTGTTGTTATTTTTTTTTTTTTTTGAGGTGGGGGAGAGGTTTTCACCATAGGGCACGTGCACTCGCCAGAAAGACAGAGGGAGACAGAGAGACAGAAAGTGAGAAATCACCCCCCAAGGAGGATGGCCACACCACAATCCCTTCTCCTCCACTCTCCTCTCGGGATCTTGGGCACACATGCACACATGAGTGAGTTTAAGCCACCGGGTCCAGGACTCGAACTGCAGTCGACTACATGGGAGTCCAGGGACATAGCCATTATGCTAACTGCTGGTCCCACCAGGGACTAGTTTCATGAAAGACAACTTTTCCATGGTTCAGGGCAAGGGCAGTGAATGGTTTCAGGAGGATTTAAGTGCATTCCATTTATTGCACATTGTCTTTTTATTATTATTACATTATAATACTAATGGCTGGTAGCAGTCCATGGCCAGGAGGTTGGGGTTCCCTGATTTAGACCTTGCTTGGTCTTATAAATTTGCTAAAAACTTAGCTGCTTTCTTTTTATTGGCCTCTTCTTCCTGCTTGTTGTTCCAAAGATGAAACAGTGTCCCTCTTTCTTCAGAGGGACTTGTCATTTCTTGAAATTTACTTCACTTGTTCGCCTTGCAATCTCATCTCTCTGATAAGCTAAGGAAAAGTTTTGACTTCATGGATTACTTGGCTTTTTCTCATTCTTGGTGTAGGAACGAGAGAGACGTGTTGTCTGGAGTCTTTCTATATCCTAAGTTGAGAAAACTTGCATTGATCTCTAAAGAGTAAAATAAATGAATAATGCTCTATTGTATCCCATTTCTACCCCATTTTTAAAAGAAGCATTCAATTTTATTTATCATTATTACTATTCAATTTTATCAGAGAGAGAGAGAGAGGGAGGGAGAAAGCAAGTTGCCAGGTCTCCAATCAGCCATGTGGGATGGGAGTCCAGTGCCTTAAACACCAGGCCAACTGCCAGTCCGTCTAACTTTTTTTTTTTTTTGAGGTTTTCTTGCCTAAGTGCACGTGTGCTTGTCAGAGAGAGAGACAGGCACAGTGAGAAGGAAAGTGAAAAATTACCCCCCAGAAGGGATGGCCATGCCACAATCCCTTCTCTTCCATTCTCTTCCCAGGATCATGAGCACGCACACACATGCACCTGGCGTGATTTTGAAGCTACTGCGTCTGGGCCTCAAACTACGGTCAACCATGTGGGAGTCCAGCAATGTAACCACTACACCATATGCTGCCCCTGCCAGCCCATTTTGAAAGGCTCAGTTACATGACCCCAGATTTCAGAAGCAATAACAGGTTGGGAATATAAAAACTGGGGATTAGTGCAAATATTTCTGTGACATTAAGCATGAGGTGGCATTA